CGTCCGCAACGTCGAGGTGAACGGATTGACACCAGCCAGTTGGCGAAGCCAGATGTTCTGAATGTATACCATAGTGCGCTGACATCTGGGCTGGGTAAGCGCCCACTAAACACCGTTGAAGATCACTGGTTGCATATTCGTCAAACGTTACTGTCCGCAGGCGTGTCTTCATGTGGCAAAGCAAATTGCCAAACCGGACACTGGGTCTCTACAGAGTCTATGGAACTTATGGATGCTCGCCGACGTATTCCGGCTGGAAGCGAAGCGAGGCTCGCAAAAATCTCAGGGCAAAACTACGGGCTAGCCTGAAGAAGGACCGCGAAACCTGGTGGTCTGATCGTGCCTCTGAGATGGAAACAGCCGCTGCCGTTGGTAATCATCGTAAGTTATTCCGTCTGATACGGGAAACAGGCAGCCGGAGACCTGGTGTTAGCGAGACCATACGCGACGAGAGTGGGCAGCCGATCCACAGCTTGTCAAAACGCTTGGAGCGTTGGGCCGAACACTTTGCAAGGCAATTTAACAAACCTGCGTTATCGCTTTCTTCTTCGGGCATTGAGCGCCCTTCTCCTTGGGCCGTCTCCTCGGATCCGCCCTCACGCGCAGAGATCGAACGTGAGATCCGGCTGTTGAAATTGCATAAGTCCTCAGGAGCAGATAGAATTCCCCCAGCCCTCTTCAAATTCGGGGAACCTGCTCTAGTAGATGATCTACACGAGTTGCTAGTAAGACTTTGGGAGCAGGAGACAGTCCCGACAGACTGGAACCGCTCCGTCATTGTCCCAATTTTCAAGGGAGGCTCTCGTTTGGAATGCGGCAATCATAGAGGGATCAGTCTGATTTCGATTGCCTGTAAATTACTTGCATCTGTCATTCTCCACAGATTGACTGGTACTCGTGAAAGCCAAATTCGTGAAGAGCAAGCCGGATTTCGTCGAGGTCGGGGCTGCATCGACCACACCTTCACATTGCGTCAAGTGTTGGAGCACCGCCATGTTTATTGGCGACCCACCGTTGTCGTGTTTCTTGACATAAAAGGTGCCTTCGACTCAGTCGATCGATGTGCCCTTTGGGACTGTCTGTTGAGGAAAGGTGTGCCTGATAAATATGTAAACATTATCAAAGCGGTGTACGCATATAGTTCGGGCAGGGTGAGGGTTTATGGCAAACTCTCGCCACCCTTCAGTATCACCAGCGGCGTGAGACAAAGATGCCCGCTGTCATCTTTCCTTTTCAACTTCGCTATTGATGAAGTCATAGAAACAGCGTTCGCTGGACACAACCTAGATGGTGTGGAGCTACTTCCTGGTGAGCGACTTCTTGACTTGGAGTATGCGGACGATATTGCCCTAATCTGTGACAGCCTCCAAACATGCCAAAGAGCACTGGACCGATTAGCACTGGCTGTCAATCGTTTTGGGCTATGCTTTGCTCCATCGAAATGCAAAGTACTTCTCCAAGATTGGCAGGGACCCAACCCTGCGCTAACGCTTGGTGGTGATCTGCTAGAAGTCGTTCAGGAATTCAAGTACCTGGGCAGCTATATTAGCACCCATGGGATTGAAGATAAGGTTACGAACCGCATAGCAAAAGCTCGAGGTGCTTTTGCCAATCTCCGCCACCTGTGGCGCAGACGCGACATTACTCTCGCCCTAAAGGGCAGAGTTTACAACGCAGCCGTCCGTTCTACTCTCTTATATGGTTGTGAAACCTGGCCCATCAGGTCGACTGACATGAAGAGACTCCTCACATTCGATCATCGCTGCCTTCGCAGCTTAGCTCATGTCTGGTGGGAACACCGCGTGAGCAATGAGCGTGTTCGACGTCGCGTATTTGGTGCAGGAAGAGCGAGTGAACCGCTCAGCACCATTATATCACGCACCAGGCTCCGATGGCTGGGCCACGTGTTGCGCATGCCAGCACACCGACTCCCGCGACGTGCATTGTTTGTGCGTTGTGGGTGCGGTTGGAAGAGGAGGAGGGGAGGCCAAGTGATGACTTGGTCGAGAGAAATGAAAACCCTCACTTCGAAGTTGGCGTCGGTTGGTGCATCCCGACTGCCTGGCTGGGGTCCTAAGGACGGTGAACACGTTTGGTTGGACACACTTGCTGATATGGCTAGGAGTCGGCCCCAATGGCGTTTGTGTTGTGATTTCCTTTGCCCATCCCCCTCCTGTTTAGTATCCCCCTCCAATCACGATCTCACCTGTTAGGCATAATATGATTCTCTTTTTACGGCAGCCAGCTGTTAGCCCTCCAGAACGATGTCCATCCGTTACTGGGGACTCAGCGGGCGTGTCACTGTTTGCCACTGTTTTGCTTTTCTTGTCTTTTGTATTGCGGCACAATAGCTGAGGTGTTTTCCACCTCCAGCTAACGTGTAATGATGATGGTGATGATGACTGGCACTCCGTTCTTTAGTAAGCAACGCCATAAAGCCGGTCGATCAACGGAGTCAAAAGCGGCACGTATGTCTAGAAATGCAATGATAGTGGGCCTGTGATAAATGTGGCGATGTTCGAGGAGCTGGCGGAGCGTGAAGATTTGATCCACGCGTCCGCGGCCAGGACGGGAACCAGCTTGTTCTTCACGGTAGTATGATTCACGTACTGGGGATAGCCTGCGAAGCAGAATGGATGCCAATAGCTTAGAGGCAACCGAACTAAGACTAATCCCGCGATGATTTGCACATGAAGTGCGAGCGCCTTTCTTGGTAGAGTGTACAATGCAGCAGTACGTTCGACCCTACTGTACAGTTGCGAAACCTGGCCCCTAAGATCGGCGGACATGAAGTGGCTAGTTACGTTCGACTATCGATGCTTTCGCAGTTTGGCTCACATCTGGTGGGAACACCGCGTGAGTAACGAGCGTGTTCGACGCCTTGTTTACGGCACGGAAAATGGAACTGAACCGCTCAGCACCGTCATTTCACTCACCAGGCTCCGATGGCTGCGCCACATGTTGCGCATGCCAACCCACCGGCTTCCACGACGTGCGTTGTTTGCTGGCCGGGGATGTGGATGGAAGAAGAGGAGAGGTGGCCAAGCGATGACTTGGTCGAGAGGAATGAAGTCCCTCACTTCGGAGCTGACCTTGCTTGGAGCGTCTCGGCTGCTTGGTTGTGGTCCAAAAGACGGTGAACATGTTTGACTGAATACACTTGCTGACATGGCAAGGAGCCGACCTCAGTGGCGTTCGTGCTGTGAGTTTCTTTGTCCCTCCCCATCCCTTTTGGCCTCCTCCATCTACGATCTCATTTCGTAGCGTAAAACATAATTTTTCTTTTTGCCTAGTAGCCGGCTGGTAGCTTCCCGGAACGATGTCTATCCGTTGCTGGTAGCTCAGCTGGCATGCAACTGTTGTATTTATTTGAAATCTGGCACATTAGCTGAGGTGGTTCCCACCTCAGGCTGACATGTATAATGAATGAATGAATGATGCTTCGCTTTTGGGAACCCTCCGAAACTCATGCAGATATTCGCACAAACAAGAGCATGGTTTGAGTCAAGGAATGTGGGCCACCTTGGTTTGAAATCCTTTACACTACCACGCTACTTGATACTGATTGCGATATGACCAATCTGTGACCACGATTGAGATGCAGAATGAGATCGCCAAGTAGCGGAACGTCTCCTCGTATGCTGAAAGCTGGTTCTGGACGGAATAAACGGTTATCTTCGCACAATGTGAGAAGTCTCCCCATTATCTGAGCGGCTCATCGAGTGCATGGTGACCACCGAGGTGATTCGCATGATAATTGACGACCAACCCGTGTGTTTAGATCCCTAGCAAGAACAACAATATCGGATGATGATGAAGATCGCGGTAGAAATCGTCCTTGACCGAGTCGGGACTGCAGTCAGTGGGAGCGTTAGCCGGTACCACAAACAACTTGGGTCTCTTCTCACGCTATTCGTTGATTCTGCATGCTCTACGAAGGCGTACTGCACACAGTCGGCTATTAATCGGAAATCAGTTCAGCAGCGCGTCTTCGGCTTCCTTGCTTAGCCCTACGCCAACGCCACCCAAGCCTGCCGCAGCTGCCTCTGTCACCAGATAGACGTAGGTGAAACATGGTTCCGCGGTTGGTGGGAGAAATCAACATAAGCACAGTACTGGAGTCTTGCAAGCGTGTTTCGGAAAGACAGCAAACGTTCATGGCAAGAGATTGTAAGGTGCGCGCAAGACAAGCCTGCTGCCCAGTCTGCATGAGTGTACGTACATTGAAGCATGCCAGGTGAAACGAGGACCGAGGTTGAGGCAAGGCAACTGGACGAACTCTGTTGGTGTTAACGAAACCATCGGGAGTGGAATCATGGAAACAGAAATCAGCTGGTAACAGATAACAGTGGTTGGGAATAAGTGAACAGGTAGCGTGTGAATAAGGAGTGCAAGTAGCAGAGTTTAAGTCAGCGGAGCGCGATATAGCAGACGAACAATCCAACATTGCCACATTCTCTGCCAGTTCTGTCGCCCGGTACTTACTCGGTTGTCCGATGTGCCAAAACCTCTGCGAGGCATTCAAGTCATCAGTAAACATAATAATCCGAAATGATGCGTTTTGTTAAGGCCTTTGCCTTACGGCATTTGAAGCCTAACATATACAAACAGATTAAGTTTGTAGTCAACCTTGCTTTGCCTTAGTAAAGCGCGATAGCTTCAGCGGCATGATGAACATAGATTTTTGGTTTTACTCTGATTATCGCAATTGTTTGCAGTTTTCAGTCATGGTATGTTAGCATCTGAAGAGAATGTGTGAAATATACTCGATTCAGATTATTACGCTTAAATGTTGCCTGTCCTTGTGTTGTTGATCTCCTTGGTTTTATAATGTTGGTTGTTTGGCATCTGATGTTAACCACGATATTCTTTATCCGTGATTATCATTGATGGACTCAGTGATTTTCTCCAAAGTTAGACGGCTAAAGCGTCTATTGAGTGGCAGCATCAAACTTACCTCGCCATTGTAACAACCTTTGCTATTCTGTTATCTTTTTTTAGGTTGTTTAACGTTTGACTTCGGTTAACCAGCTCCCACATGGATTATCTTGATAAGCTCGATGAATTGCCTACTGTCTCGGAAGCACTCACTTTACCGTACAACGAATACAGCAAGCATGCCGCGGGCATGCTGAATTTTCGGGAATATTGCCTTGATGGCTTTGCCGAAGCTATCGACAAAGTTCAGCAATGGTGTGTTCACTTGGACTGCATAAAACCTGATGGCGCCTGTACACCCGCTCCACCGTTTCCAACTTGGACTGCGACCCCTAGCAAGTATGTAGAGATTACTTTCCCACATCGCACCACCTATTATCATTTATGCTTTCTAAGTCTGTGCTGATCTGCTTATTTTTACTGTACAATTCTCTGCCATTTAAACAAATTGTTTTGTTATCTATTCACAATGCGTAGCCGGAGCCCAACTTAAACTCCATTGTGTGCATGGCATCGGATCATTTTATTAAGTGGCTCAGCTATCAACTGAACATATGTCAATTCTTAGTGATTTTCCGAGGTTATAGCATTCGTTTAGTTACGACATCGGTTCTCTGCCTCTTCGGACATAGCACATGGGAAGTAAACTGCCAAAGGTTCTTCAACAACGGATACCTGTCTGCGTTTTAGTCCCTTCCGCGAGACTCGTCCAAATACCGCGGAGAAATATTCCAATATGCCTGACTACTTAACATTTTGATTGCGTACTACTACATGACGAAACAATCTGGCCCAAGCCGCTCCCGACTACAACGCTATGACGGACTACATCGGGTGCAGAGTATATACAAGCATATGGATGATGAAAAATGCTACCTTACAATATGTTCGCAAACTACTTATGAACACGTGATTGATACCGTACTACTTAAGGGTTTGACTGAACATTTTAAATGTCGCATTCTCCACTCGTCCTTTGTTCCATTTATTTGAATTATAAACAGATTTGCGAAATCCCTGTACAATTTGATTGCACCAACAAGCTAGGCTGTCTCGCACGGTTGATAAATAAACAAATTTGTTTATTTATATCAAACGTAATCCTCGGGACGGGACTGTACCTTAAGGTGCTGCGATGGTTTGCATACCTCCGTGATCCATCGAGCTACGCTAGCTGTCACTTTTCAAAACTTTCAGAAACCTTTCAGAACTTTTCAGAACCAGTTGGAGGGTCAAGTTTGGATTACACGTTGTGTGATTGGATTGCGACACGCAACCTCAATTTAATGGACTGTGATTCATATTAAAATGAACCTTAGTCACTGCGATCGCTGGGACCGTATTCAAAGTAGATGGAAATTGGGTATTGCCCACCCGAAAACACTGCACAGCCACGACGCGTTTCGATGTAATTTCATCTCATCAGGTGGAGACAGCAGGATTTGAACCCAATCACACAACGTGTAATCCAAACTTGACCCTCCAATTAGTCATCTACCGTTGTGACAAAAAGCATTGCCCATCGTGACCCGGTAGCCAAAGGGGTAGTAGTGTTGGCTGCTATTCCAATGGTCGTGGGTTCAAATCCTGCTGTCTCCACCTGATGAGATGAAATTACATCGAAACGCGTTGTGGTTGTGCAGTGTTTTCAGATGGGCAATACCCAATTTCCATCTACCTTCAGAACCACTTATGCCAGACATTTCGGTGTTTAGGAGTGGTCTGTACACCTGGCTTGCAGTCCTAAGGTCACCCGTTCGGATCCGCGTAGAGGCGGGCTTCCTCGCGGTACACTCAGCCCACTTATGACTGGTTGTGGTCACGCGGCAGCGGAGCGCCGTTACGGCATACAACTGACATTATTTTATCCTCCGGTGGTTAGAGAGGGGTCGATGGCCCTCTTCCCTTAAAGCCTAGCCTTGAGAGTAACGGATTTACAGGGAATATTCTCATATTTCGGTTGGCGTAAAGTACAGCCATCGCACATTGTCTCTGACGATTAGAGGGCATCATTTGGGGCTCAATGATTTGCTACCTTGTGGTTCAAGCCAGGCTGTCCGTGGTCAAATTGGTGTAAACCTACCAACTTCCATCTGCGGTTAGCCTTGATCGCAGGTGCTTAACATGGTTGACGACATCCGGTTCCGGATTTGTCTGTCACTGTGACCTCCATAGGACAGCCACAGCACGCCTGCGCCTACAGAGGGGCCATGAGTGGCTTGCGCTACATCACCCACAGCTCAATACACACGCCATATCCAGTGTAAACCTGAAGTAATCAGACCAGGAGGCATGCAGATGGGAGCCGCGTTTCATGAACGCCGCCAGCCCACGCTTCTTCACAGGCAGACACAAGTACGCTGTATTTGGGGAATCAAGCGCACACAAGACGGTGCCTGGGCCGTAGTCTGCTCCACACTGGGTAGAACCACTCTTTGAGCCTAGCACGGCTACAGTAACCGATCTACCCGTCCTCCCCAGCAACGATTCAGTCTACTGGAGCCAGTAATCGAGGTGGAGGGTGTTAGACAGGTAGGCACCTTGTCAACATGCACATCAAGCGTAGCCACACCGGGGATGTCAAACAACAGCCAATCACTTGAAATGACAATATAAAATTGTAGTTATTGAATAAAGCATACGGATATACCGGCTTAGCTCTTCGCTAAGTGAGCATATGAAATAAATTGGTCATCAACAAATCCGCGATAAGTTAAAGATGTGAGAAAAAGATATCTTTAACAATTGCTACGAACGCAAAAAGGTTAACGAATTTAACTCCAATCTGCTTAAGCGACGTGTAAAAGTGAAAAGAAGCTTATTCAGACAGATATCTAAATGGTTTAGCAAACTAAGCACTACAAAATATAGCCAACCAATCACCTGAAATAAAGAAACTCAGCACACAAGCACGTTGTTAGTACATCGAATACAGCGTACCTGCCAACGAAGCACCGGTTCTGCTTACATGTGCTTACGATGTTGGTCTTGAGTGGCCTCGCTCGTAGCTAACTAGGCCTGCCTAACTCATGCACTCGCGATCGCATGTGCTACAACACCATGTGCTCGACGTCGATGGAGTACAACCCATCGGTGCCTGTCGCTTCCGCACCTGCCGCTTCTTCTCTGCATGCACGAGGGCTTTCTGTTGCACCTCGGCAACTGCCTTTGTGACTAGATGGCGCAATGCACGCCGATCAACTGCCTTAGGTTCCTAACATCTGGAATGAACATTAGAACATGTCCTGGTAACGAAGCTCCATTTTCTTCACATGCCGCTTCCCAACACTCAACTGACCATATAACTGCTGCTTCGGTATCTGCGTCAAATCCATACGTAATACATGACCGAGCCACCTCAGATGTTTCAACAAAAGTATGCAGTCCACTTCATACATTCCACTTCGGCGCAGCACCTCCGTGTTTGCAACTCTGTCGTACCAACCGATGCGCAGCATCCGTCACAGACACTATTGATGAGTGAAAGGATTGTCCTGTTCTCCGAGCTGGATATTTCTGTTGCAGACGTTTCGTTACCAAACTAGGTAACATCTTCAGTGCGGCTATGCAGTCCTGATTCGCGGAGTCTCGCAAACCAATGCCAATGTTGATGAAACCGCTCGAGATATCTCACGTCTTGCCACTACATCGTCAACCTTTTGCTGCCGTATAGAGGAACGGGCAGCACCATGTATTTGTACACTATCAGCTTCGTGCCGACGGTAAGCTGGTGATTATTTCACACTCGGTCCTCAAGCTTCCTGAATGCCGCCGCTACCTCGATACTCGGATACGCAGCTCACTGTGTAGTTTCTGGTCAGTCGAAACCACACTCCAAAGGCAGCGGAAGCTGGAGGTGGCTTCGTCACCAGTGCTGGTTTGTGGCACCATTGCAGATTGCACCTCCGGTGAAGGCTGAAAGAGAGACAGTTTTGCTTGTAAAAACATTTCAACAGAATAATCTGAATTCATGTATTTCGCAACATACAATATGCGTACGCAACATTACGCGAGAACGGGTATGCCAAGAAGTTCATCAAGCGCCACTCGATTGAAAAAAACAATCGAGAAAAGCAAGGCCGATGTCCCTAAGAAGAAGGTATTCACGCTGCCATTCAAAAGGTACCAAGCTGATAAGCGATTTCGATATCGTCTTCGCCAGTCCATTAATAAATGCTATTATGCGGCCGAGCTAGTCCTACTCCACCAAGTTAAACGGTTCTTCTGTAATTCCGACCTGGACAAGCCAGACTCTACGGTTGCTGCCTCCCATATCTACCTTTTCATTGTACTTGCGATAGTAAGTAAATGGGCTGAACTAAGAGGAGGCTGTCCAGGACTATTGCAGTACATGTCCTACGTAGCCTGGTGGCAAATGGCCCTAAGCTGCCCGCAAGCTCTATCGGCCAGCATATCCTCGATTGTCCTACGTGCAAACACCCACGGGAATCGTTCAGAATCCTTAATCGTCAGAACACTGCTCGTCTCCTTCAATTTGCAGAGGCTTCAGTGATTCGTTGGCTGAAACCCAACTTATATAAGCAGATGGAGTTTGTGACTACTCTCGCCTTGCCTTGGTGAGGTTACCGATTAACTTTATTTAAACAACGATTTCCCACATAGCCTTACAGTTGCTTGTGCAGCATACTGATTCCACTGATTGTCTGTACGCGAAATATTTGAATTCAGATTATTCTGTTGAAATGCCATCTTTTTTCTTGCTATTTTGAAGTTTGTGAAGGGAAAATCCTGTATGAAGCCTTGCTTGTGTTGATGGTAAACCCGAATTTGGCCGTCGTCGAAGCCAGGGCAATAGTCATGTGCTGCAACTCGTCCGCGCCGTGTGCAAACAACGCACAGTCGTCAGCAAACAGCAACATGCGGATACTTGTCTCAGACTGGGGTTCTCGCCCCGAAACGACGGATGGTCAACAACCCACCATCGATACGGTCCTGCACACGAACACCGTAAGCACAAGCCGCATCAAATGCCACACATCACAGCATGTAGATCAATATTAAACAGGGCAGGAGCTAACAAACAACCTTGCTTCACATCAGAGACAACTGCAAAGCCATCCGAGGTCTGTCCACACAGCTGCACCTTCGCCCGCTTACCACTGTGCAGACATTCAGATAAACTTAAAAACTTACTGGGATAACCAAACTTACCCAACACCAGCTACAATGCCTCGCAGCTCACGGTATCAAATGCTTTGGTAAAATCAATAAAATACGTGTGCAACGGCTAGTGTCGTTCTCTGCACTTCTGCAACTGACAAGCCGCAACACCATATCTATAGTGTTGCGACCCGAACGGGATTCACATTGCTCCTCCGCTACGTTCGGTGCCACAACCTGACTGACGAAGCGGTTGAGCAGGATTCGGGAAATCGCCCTCACCACTCAACAAGTTGATACCACGATAATTCATGGCACATTGCCTGCTCCATTTGCCCTTGTAACGTGATAGCACAAGGGCATCCTTCAACTCAGAGGACACCTCCTCAATCCACACGCGTTGCACCAAGTGATGCAGCGCGTTCACTAACACGGGTCTGCCGTGTTTCAATACTTTAGGCGGGATCCCGTCGGTAACGGTACACTTGCCGTTTCGCAGCTGAGCAAGTGCTCTCTGCCTCTCATCCAATGTCCGCGATACTCGCGTTCACATCGTGCTGCTTCAGGCTGTTCAAAGTAGGCCAGTCGATCTCTGAACGTTTGTTCAAAAGACGATCAAAGTGATTTCGTTAGAGTTGCATTATGTCTGCAGTCTGTGTCGGTAGCACCTGAGCTACCATCGATCAGCGGGTCCAACATCAGTCCATACACTGCCTTCAAGGAGTCAAAGAATTCCTTGTGTTGGCGGCGTTCGGCATAGCATTCCATCTGCTTCGCCTTTTCCGTCTAGTATGCATTTATGATGCATGAAGTTTGCGAAACTCGTCCTTCTTTCCCAAGTTACTGGGGTTTGCCACATGTGCGGCAAATGATGCATTCTTTTCTGACACTAATGCGCCCATGGTCGCATTGTTCTCATCAAACCAATCAGGCCGCTTACAGTTTGCGTACCCGATGGTCTCCTCGGCAGCAGCTGTCACCTGGTCGCGAATGTGGTGCCACAGGCCGCCCACTGTGGCTATGCATTCCACATCACCCAGTCGTGCAGCCATCGCCTTCTTCAGCTCAGTCCGTTTCTCCACTGTATGGAGGGAGAGAATGTTATATTTGCGCGGCGAAAGTGCAATACATAGATTTACGAAAATCTATGTACAGTTTGGTCCGCGCCAATTCATGAGCTGTGCCACACTCAGCTCCACGCAGTACACCTATCATGCACATAGCACGCTGACGTACGATGATATAATCGAGCAGGCGAGCGAGACTACTCCGTGGGCACGTCCAAATTGTTTTATCACTTGCGCTCAGTGCAAACCGAGTGTTCGTGATCATCAGACCGTGTGGCACACAGTGAGAGAAACCAGTCACCGTTCGCATTCATTAAACAAATGCCATGCGGACCGATGACATCTATCCACACCGATGCGTCACGCCCAGTGCGCGCGTTGAAATTACCCAGCAGAAATAGTCGGTCGCTCCTCGGCACAGACCGTACCACGGAGGATAGCTGAGTGTAGAATTGTTCACGCGTGTCATCAGGATAACACATGGTGGGACGGTATGTGCTGATAAAAGTGGCAAATCTACCTCTTCCGACTTGTAGGCGGACAGTCATCCGTCGCGCGCTGATGCCAGTTGGTTTACCCACCAGCTGGCCATTTAGGCGATCAGATATTGCAAATCCGACCCGATGTTCACGTGGTGCTGTGGTACTGTTGCCCACACAGTAGAACCTATAGCCAGCACCAACTTCATACAACTTATCTTGCTCTGCGAGTCCAGTCTCACTGAGCGCCGCAATAACGATGTAACGCGCCAGTTCCATCGTGACCTGTGCAGTGCGTCGCTCGGGGCGCTCACTCGAGTTCTGGTCCAGTAGTGTGCACACGTTCCAGCACCGGATGTTGAGTGCTTTTTGCGCAGGCATACGATTGCATTGGTGGGCAATCACACGCGAGGTGTTTGTTTTGCTTTGGAGGTTTGCTTGACGGACTCCGCCCGGAGCCTTTAGCTCAGCTGCCTGATCCACAAGGCAGTGGGTGACTTGGAGGTTCGCTTGAGTGACCTCACTCGTAGCCTTTGATTCAATAACCTGACCCACAAGGCAGTGAGTGATTTGGAGGTTTGCTTGAGGGACTCCACCCGGAACCTTTGACTCAACAGCCTGACGCACAAGGTAGCGGGGAGCAGATGCGGAGACAGATTGGGATATGCTTGAGGTCCGTCACACGCAGCCTTTGAAGTTTTGGACAATTCACTTGTGTTTTGCGACCATAGTAAGATACGCACCTTGGACGACGGTCAGACGCAGGAGGGTTTTGGCGGGTTTGCACCAATTTGACCAGGGGCTGCCTTGCTTGAGGTTGGCAGTAGCAAACTACTGAGCACCCTGAGATGCCCTCTCACCGTCAGAGACAATGCATGTCGCTCGTACTCCACGCCAATCGAGCGGCGAGCTTATAACCCGTGGACCTATTGTTCCCATGACTAGGTTTCAAGGGAAGAGGCCCATCAGCCACTTCCTAACCTCCGAAGAAGATGGGGTTTGGATTAAGATACGGTAGGGCGCCCACACCTGACAGGAGAACGACTCGGGTCCTAAGCCAAAGCCTTCGGTTAAATGTACACCCGAAAGGCAGTTGGTCTAGCACATGGTCAGTTCACTGACTCATGCGGATTGGTGTGTCGTGGTTCTTAGCTAGGATTTGGGCGTAACCCAACGGTCAACACGAGGAGTCGTCCCGGATATGAGCCCATGGCACAACAGTAGCAGCAGTGGGTAGACTATCTGTCAGAATCTGGCCACCTGGAAGCTCCAGCGCATATTGAGCTCTCCCGCTGGTGCATAACATACAACCATCGTAAAACATATGCGCATTATTCTAACCTTCAAAGGCTGTGTGACAAGCCTTAGACAGATCCCAATGGGTCTGCGCAACCACGCTCACACATACGGGCGTGCATCCTCGCGGTATACTCAGCCCACGCGCGACTGGTGATGGTCGCGTGGCAGCGAAGCTCCGTTACGGCGTAAGCTGGCGATTTATTTTTTATTTTATTTATCAGCTGCACGCCATAGCGACGCTTTGTTGCCGCGTGACCACAACCAGTCGTGCGCTTTCTGAATATACCGCGAAGACGCCCGCCTGTACGTGGATTCGTACCGGTGACCTTATAATTGAAAAGCCAGGCGTGGAGACCACTCCGCAAGGATGTTGTTTAAGAATCTGTGCCCTCGGATAAATTACTCAATACAGTTGTGTTGATGTCCTTTCAGAAAAAAACTTGCGCAGAAGTCTGTTTGAAAATGCCGTTGACTCTGCACCAAATTCACAGAACTCCAGTTGCTTGCAATAGGGAATTTCGAAGTTGGCACTGTGAGTACCATATGCACATAGCATGTTCAGAGGGCACATGTGGTGGTAGAGTTGTGGCACACTGTTACTAAATCTGCACTTGGAGACATTATTTGTCTATCTATGACAGGCGTTCGAATGCCTCCGATCAATGAATGATTCACTGTCGGCAGTTTCAGGCCTGATGTTACCAGTGCTTGACACAATCGACCTGTTTTCTGTACCAACTTGATTTTTGCGTTGCTGAACACCACTTAAATTTGAGTACACATTGAATTTGTTTGTATTTATATGTTTTGCGCTTCGCTCTTCTCAGAAGATTCAGAAGAAACAACTTTCAATTCTTTTCCCTCTTATAGTTCTTCGGCCTACATTACAACTACACCGGAGTTGCCTTTCGATAAAAACCATACAAATGCCACTTCTGCTCTCCAGTTCATACTTTCTGTCGGCTTCAACGGATCGAACTGCTACGATGATTATATTTGCGATCATGAAAGGTTGAGTTCGGCTAACCATTGGGTTCTTGGATTCGGCTGTCTCCTGCTTTGTCTCGGCGGAATCGCGAGCAACTTAGTGTTGCTCCCCGCATACAATTTGGGACTGAACCGCTCTGGAGCCACTTTATTCCTTACCTCAATGGCTATACTGGATTTGATTTATTTAATCTCCACTCTGCTCGTTGTTGTGTCTCACTACATGCCAAGCGATTTCGAGGGACAGATGCTTTATTATACCCAATTCTCCGCTCGCTTTGTCCCCATCGGCTTACCGATTATGCAATTGTGTGAATTCGTCGTGGTAAGTTTTCCGTACGACTTTCTTCATCTCTAAAAACGTTTCTGTTCCTGCGGCATTTGACGACTACATTAAATCAACCTAAATGCTGATTAACCGAAAAAGGGAGTTAAGCGCATCCATTTTGTCTGTTGTTAAGCGGTGATCCGACCATTAGGGTGCAACTGCTTGGCTGGGGTCCGAAGGATTATGTACACGTCTGGTTGGATACACTAGTTGACAAGGCAAAAAGCCGACCTCAGTGGTATTTGTGTTGTGAGTTTCTTAGTCCCTTTCCATCCAGCATATCTTCCCCCTCCAACCACGATCACTCTTGACGCATAATTCGTTACTAAGTAATGTGTTGCACGTATTTCTTGCTTTCTGTAGTGTTCAGTATCTTGCTTTTTCATGTCTTATCTTTATATATTGCGACACTAGCATGACAGTATAAATTAATAAAGTGAAGCAAAAAGCACACAAGCAATCGACCCTTGAGAACTCCGTAGGAAGTGTGTGGGTAACGAAAACGAAAAGGTAAAAACATAAAGTGAACCCATTATTTTAGCAAACTACCGATTATCTTCGATTGTGCATTGATTTCGAAGATTCCGGAATCTTTCATTCTTTCCCGTAATTGCCAGCATATGGGGTTTTGGCAGGAAGTCTGCTAATATTGCCAATTGACCCTCGTTTTCTAGAAACCGAGGATCGTTGAGCCCCCTGTATATTTGGTGTAGGTCTGGCGTAGTTGTATAGCGTTTTGGCGGCGTTTTTGACTACGTTTGGCGTCGTTTTTGCTAACACGTTTTTCGTAGTCATGCGTTGGACTTTTGATTTTTCGGTTGGGATAGAATTTTTGTGTGTTTAATTCGGAATAGCGTGAAAACGTGATCTAACAGAACTCTCAAATAGAATGATTGGCAGTTACACGCATGCATGTGCCACTGAATTCATGTGGAGGATAATTTGAAACTTACTGATCAACTATGGTGCTGTTCGCCAGTAACTATCGAAGTGACGTTTTTTGTGATTATTCTAGTCGATTCCCAACTTCCCCTGGCCAACAGTAACACTGGGAGTTTACGTACATGTTTCCTTAGCAATACAACTCATTCATTTCCGTACAAAGTGGATCATATTTTCCTAGAGGTTAGCAAATTTGCACCTCTTACCTATCCGTCGTCATAATAAGTGATACGCCGCATACTTGACAACATCTGGACCAATACTGTGATCATCTTGGCGCATTATTAAGATAAGAAAAGAAGATTACACATGCTGCTGATGCTCCAGCGGTTCTGTTCGGTTCACTCGGGCACCCCAGCGCGATGGCCTCAGCCGAAAGCCAGATAATGAAATTCTGTCTGAAAGTGGCTGGAAAAGGGTAGAATGGCTTAATGTTGGTTCATTTGGAGCTTGTATGTGAAATAAGTGATTGGCAACAAAAAACCGAGCATTAGAGCCGATCGCAATGCATTTATTCGGGAGAATGAAGCGTACCAACGCAGCTATCTTTGCGTCAGTTTTTCTTGGCCTTATTGTTCGATCAATCAACACACACAAACCACGTGCGGATCGGCAGGCAACACACACTGTGTGTTATGCAAAGAACATGATTCGATTGGCGCAGGTCGTTCAGATTTCGCACATAGCGCAGCGCGGCGCAAAGCAGACCATCGCAGAGCGGTAATTGTTGAACATCAACATTACCCATCCGGTTTTCCCACCAGATAAAGCCAACGTTCCACTCGCATTGTTGATAGAAGTCGAGTAGGCTTCTACTCATCATCAATAGCCGTGCATCAGCCATTTGAACTGATGCTTCACTGCCGTACAACCACGATGACTCACGGAACAAATAAGGCAGGGAAGGGGGATCTAGCATAATACATTAATGCACTATACAAGCACTCGTGGTCAAGGCACCTACACGTTGTCACAAACAGCTGGCTATCGTGTAAAGATAAGGTGGCATCGGCAAGACAGCTTCCTTGTGGCTTTCACTGCTCCGCGTCACAATCAGCCATTACCCTGCAGATAACTCAGCACCAAACACGCTTAAAACAGACAGTCCGACTAGGACACACCACCGGTGTCGACTGCGTGCCAGGTCTTGTAACGCCTCAAGCTAAGCACAAGGTGGGTCACGTGGACTGCAGTCTGGGCACGAGACGGATTGACGGCACTCAGTTTGATCGTCATTGACTTCATTTCCCGCTGACAAGTTAACTTTTGTCCACTTCGAGCCCTGCGCCAGTGTACATCTAGCAAACAAAACAAGGCCCTTCTTGTTTATCGGTGATCGGGCATACATAGTACGTGCCCAAGCCAACGCAACTTATTCAGTGCTATTTGTTGTTCTTAAGGACTAACTTAACTATCACTACCTAGTACACGCCTACGTACTTCATCATTGCGGGCACGCTGGTGCTACCCAACACCAACAATGCTTCACAGACAACTATAGCCAAAGACTTGAAGACACATCAGATCCTTGTACCGATTGGGCCACGCCTCACCCCCATAGGGTAGGACGGCCCTCACTGTGGCCTTGTATACACGGCTTTCAGACGGTCGGAAACTCCTTTATGTCGCCAAAGATCGCAAATTCCAGATGGCAGTTCTGGCCTTTGCATTGCGTTAACTGAGTTCAGCTGTTATGCGCCCATCGTTGCTGATGCAGCTACCAAGGTCGATGAAGTGGTCAACTACCGCGAGTTCCTTGTTATCAAGGATCAAAGTGGTCACCAAGTGGCTGGCGGTCTTGTAACAGCACTTCGAAATTACGAAGCGTATGCCATATGATGGGACCTGTCTAGAGAGGTTATCCAGGGTTGATTGGGCCGCCCCAATATCGTTAAAAAGCAGGACAATATCCTCCCCATAATCATGATCAACTAGCCTTTTACCAGGCAGCACCCCAATGCGTACATCGTGAGATTGCGCAAAGGAACACTCCACGATGGAATCCACGACGAAATTGAACAAAAAATGGGGAAATTGGACAACCCTGACGAACGCCACTTGTTGCCGGAATGTCATCCGATAAGTCACCGTAGACCCTGACGCGGCCTACGGTGTTTGAGTACAGAGCTTGTAAAATGTTCACATATTTCATGGGAACATCTTTCAGTACAAGTATTTCGAACAGAATGCATCGTTCCACTGAATGGAACGCACTCTTGAAGTTGTGGGGAAAATTGGGCCCCTGTTTGGTACTTGACCGAACGAAAGGCGTATGAACCAAGTAATCCATCACCGGCTCCCATTGGGCGCGATACCCTGAATTCGCCTCGCTGCCTTGCGCGTAGGCTGTTGAGCCAAAGGCTCGGAGTGGTGGCCCCCAAGACCACCCCCTACTTCGGCCAGGGCGACCGGATAGTATCTCGCCTACTGATGAACCATGGAACTGAACTGTACTCTTCGCTCTGCCGATGCTTTGCTCTCGTGCTACTACTGCAAACACTCTTCCATCACACGCCACTCGCTTATCTACTCTACCCCCGTATCATTCTTCCCCGTTTCTGTCTGATCAGTCAATGATGAGCAGCATTACTTCCCCCGATATCACTGTTGCCGCTCCATCCTTTGACATGAGCACACAGCGCCAAACCGGGATTGAACAGTCCCGGATTCTCCCCTCTCCGCCTCTGCAACTGAAGATACAGTTCAACTTTGGTGGCGTTCAGTGTATTCACCTTAAAACATATTGGGCAACAAGCTGGTCTCACGCGCACTCTAGAAACTCTTACAATTGATGTCTGTTGTTTTTCCGAAACACGACTGCAGGATTCCAACACAGTCTACCCATTGTCGTCACCAATTCACCCTTATACTCGTTTCCACATTCGGCTTTTTGGAGACGCCTGAGCTACTGCTTTTGGACAAGCTGGTGTTGGGGTCGCCTTTAGTGCCAAAGCCGAAGCTGTCCTTCTCGAATGGATTCCGATCAACAGTTGCCTTTGTGCTGTTAGGCTCCATGGCTCGTGCAAGGTTAACAGGTGTCAAGAAGATAAACGCGTTCTTTTAGTAATCTTCGCCTATGCTTCCACTGAATGTAGCCCGGGTACCGTTAAAGACCAATTCTAACAGAATCTTCATGATTTGCTTTTAAAGGCCCCAAAAAACGGACATCATTATTATGGCAAGGGATTTCAACTCGCGTGTTGGTCGTTTGTTACCAAGCGAACGCCATCTTGGAGGCTCGGTTGGATACGACAACTTTCGCCCAGACAATGTTGAACGACTACTCAGTTTGTGTGCTTTCCACCAACTTCAGCTCTCCAGCATGAGCTTTCGCCACCGTAGACGTCACTACCCTACCTGGCACGCTCTATCATCTTCCCAACGTTGGTCACAGATTGACCACATCGCCATAAGTCATCGCTGGCGTGGAAGCATTCAGGACTGCAGATCCTATTGGTCAACATGCGTGGAAACTGATCATGCGCTAGTGCGTGCGTCGGTTTACATGCGTTTCGTTGGTTCGCCTAGGATTAGACAAATTGTAATATCAAAAGCAGCTTCGTGAGAGCCTCACATCGCTTCCTCGGGACGTTGGTCAGCATTGGTCGCGATTGCAACAGATTATGTTTTCAGCAGGTTTATCCAGTTGCGGTCTAGTTCGTTACACAACTAGAAGTTAGCTCTCGGCCACCTCCGCGGAACTTCTCGACTATCGGCGAGCTATACCCGTCGGTGTGAAGCACATTGAGTTCCGCCGTTCTATTTCCAGACAACTGAAAGTGAGTCTTCGCCGCGACCGTGAATCCTGGTGGTCTAAACAGGCCGAGGAAATGGAAGTTGCTGCCTCTGCTGGTAATAGCCACAGGTTGTTTTATCTCACTGGACGCAAAGTTCAGGCCATCAGTCAGACCATCTGTGAGTCAGACGGTACAAAGATTACGAACCTACGCAGACGCCTGGATCGCTGGGCAGAGAACTTTGCTCTACAGTTTGATTGCCCAACACAACCTCCGGTTACACATCCACTGCCATCATGTGATCCTTGGTTAGTCTGC